ATGGCTTAAAATCATCTTAGAAGACTTGAAGATAAAATCAGAAGGACCTATGAAACTCTATTGTGATAATAAGTCAGCAATAAGCATAGCCCACAACCCAGTGCAGCATGATAGAACAAAACATATTGAAGTAGACAGACACTTCATCAAAGAAAAGCTTGATAGTGGCTTTTTATGCACTCCATATTTGTCCTCTCAAGACCAAATTTCAGACATTCTTACCAAGGGATTAGGCAACCACAATTTTGAGAAAATTGTATCCAAGCTGGGAATGGAAAAGACCTATTCACCAGCTTGAGGGGGAATGTGGGAAATCAAATAGTATTTTAGGAAATAATAAATTAGGCTATGGCTTAAAATCATCTTAGAAGACTTGAAGATAAAATCAGAAGGACCTATGAAACTCTATTGTGATAATAAGTCAGCAATAAGCATAGCCCACAACCCAGTGCAGCATGATAGAACAAAACATATTGAAGTAGACAGACACTTCATCAAAGAAAAGCTTGATAGTGGCTTGATATGCACTCCATATGTGTCCTCTCAAGACCAAATTGCAGACATTCTTACCAAGGGATTAGGCAACCACAATTTTGAGAAAATTGTATCCAAGCTGGGAATGGAAAAGACCTATTCACCAGCTTGAGGGGGAATGTGGGAAATCAAATAGTATTTTAGGAAATAATAAATTAGGAAATTTGTATATTTCCTTGTAATCTGTACAGATTTGAATAATTAGGAGTGTAGTGGCTCGGTCCAGTGCTGAAGCGGAATTCAGAGCCATGGCACAAGGTATATGTGAGTTGCTATGGCTTAAAATCATCTTAGAAGACTTGAAGATAAAATCAGAAGGACCTATGAAACTCTATTGTGATAATAAGTCAGCAATAAGCATAGCCCACAACCCAGTGCAGCATGATAGAACAAAACATATTGAAGTAGACAGACACTTCATCAAAGAAAAGCTTGATAGTGGCTTGATATGCACTCCATATGTGTCCTCTCAAGACCAAATTGCAGACATTCTTACCAAGGGATTAGGCAGCCACAATTTTGAGAAAATTGTATCCAAGCTGGGAATGGAAAAGACCTATTCACCAGCTTGAGGGGGAGTGTGGGAAATCAAATAGTATTTTAGGAAATAATAAATTAGGAAATTTGTATATTTCCTTGTAATCTGTACAGATTTGAATAATTAGGAACAATCCCATAAATCAAGGGATTCTAGAATAAAATAGAGTTATTATATTTCCTAAAATAGCATAGGTCTCCTGTATATATCTTGTATGATCTCTTTGTATTATGATATAGAAGACCTAGGTCCAGAGAGATTAGCATAGCTAATCAATATTCCAGAGCCACCCACCAAATTGGTTATGTGCTGGAGCTCTAACGGGATGCCAAAGTTGGCTGGAGTTTACCAATGAGAAGCAGAAACAATCAAGAGTTTTAGCTCAGCTTGAAACCCTTCCAGATTCCAGTAACTGAGCCAGCAACATAAGATAGCTCTAAACCAACCAACTAACAATTTCTACTGGTTTGGTTACATAAACAATCTACATGCTACTCAGACTGTTCAAGATCAGTTCACCATTTTGCTGGTATGTGCCAAGTTTTATAGCATTGCATATTACAATTTCAACATCATTCAAAACAAAAATCATTATCTAGTATAAAAGTTTTATTTTAATTAAATATAAGATAGAAAGCAACATAACCATCAATGATTATACGTTTAAAATGAACTATAAAGAAATAAGATAACAAAGTAAACAGAAAACAATGAGGGGGGATAAAAAGATTCACCGTAGGTCCCAAAACTTAAGGCCTTCATGTCCGGCGGTTACTACTATATTAGGACTCTCTGGATCACTGGAATATTAAAAGAAAATCTCACATTGCATTCAACATATGAAGGTAAAAAGATACGGAAATGATGTAAATACAATAAATTCATATGTATGATATTTGCATGTGTAATAAACTAACTTCTTGATATTGAAGCAATCTTCATGGAAAAAACAAGGGTGCATGTGTACAGCCAATAATGGTAAACTCCAGACATAAATGATGCTACTTTTCTTTTACTTTTTAATGGGAAAGAGTTTGTTGATTAAGAAGGAAAGAAACCGATTGCATTACATGAATGAGAATTGATATCTTCTGGGCATAATTAAAAAAGGAAAAAGGAATAAATCAACCTCCACAATGATTTCAGAGGCACGCACAAAAATACACATAATAAATAAACAAGTTTCAGAAAAATTCTGAGACTTAATTAGTTAGATATGGTTGTAGTTGGAGTATCTATTATTTAACAATGAGGGTTTATAAAGAAGTGAAAATCCTCAACTTTTACAGAAATTTTCTCTATAATCTGAACTGAATTTTGTTTTTCTTAAAGATATATAGTAACAATGAGGCTTTATGCCCTTTTCTTGTACTTCCTTTAGCACTTCTGGTGCTCCTT